GTAGAACAGGAGATCCTTTTTAATACTTACACTTCCTTAATTCTAGTCATAGTCTAAAGAATTAAAATCTTTATTTCTGGGGGGGAGGGTATAGCTCAGTGGTAGAGTGCATGCTGAGCATGCACAAGGTCCTGGGTTCAATCCCCAGTACCTCCAGTAAAAAAAATTAAAATATAAATAATAAAAATAAACTTTAAAAAAAGTACTACCTTTAAAAAAAATCTTCATTTCTAAAGCTATCAGTAATCCTTTCACTCAGTTTTTTTAATTGAAAAGTCTGCTGTCTTCTATGTTAACATATTACTTTTTTATATTAACAAATTCACTCTAATGATTAAAAACCTAAAATATGTATAACTGAATCGCTTTGCTATACACCTGAAACTAACATTGTAAATTGACTACACTTGAATAAAAAAATAAGAATTTTTAAAAAAATCTGTTAAACCATCTATTTGACTTAATGCCCTGTAGTCAGACTATTCAAACAGGTGATAAGGAATCCCTTTGACACTAAAGTAATAATCAGTCAACACTGACGGCCACTCTCACTACTTGTTCAGGACTCACACTGATGAACTCACGTTTCTGACCGTTCTTCAGTAGGAAGGCTAGCCAGTTTGGGGAACCCAGAGGGGTAATGACAAGAATCTCCGACTCCCCAAGAGGCAAACAAAGCTACAGAAGATCACTCCAAGGAAAGACACATCCAGATACCCTCCCAGGCCTGTAATTCAAGTGACCAGTGGCCCCTCCTGTACCTCTCCATCCCCTCCCCTGGCCAGCCTGCCACGCAGCTCAGCCTGCAATCCTACGGGAAAGAACAAAGCCCAGGAGAAAAGGAAACTGTGGGTATCTTCTCCACCAGACGTCCCCCTGCTCACTGAAGTTTCAAACACACGGGAGCCCTAAATCTGACTTCGTTCCTCGCAGAGCTCAGCACACCCTCCCTGCTGAGCTCATTCAAGGGCGAACAGACAGACGCTCCCCAAAGGTTCCTGGCACCATGTTACCCTTGGTTTCCATACCACGGCTGACAACGCTCACAGACTACCCGAGCTCTAGCACATGCTGCCAAAATCACTGCTGGGGAAGGAAAAATGCAGTCAGCCCACAAGCTCATTGATCTTCATGACATCCAAACACTGGCTTCTTTTTAAACCACATTGATTAAAATAAAGGACATTCTAACATCCTGTATGGACGGAGTCTGAAGTTCTCAACACTCTTCAGTATAAACATATTGCTTATCACGAAAGTCTTCATGACATGTAAAGGCCCCTTTGATACCGCAGAGCCGACATAATCACAGGGAAACAGATACTGAAAGAGTAGGCAATAGGCCAAAGGTCACTAACAAGGTCAAGGATGAAATCAGATTTAAAAGTGAAAGTTTCCACTCCATTAGTCATTACTCCCCAGTGAGACTCCAGAACATCCTGTTAGATCTTGTTATGTCTACATTCAAAGTGAATTCCTATCATTAGCAAGTGAGGAAATCGTCTGAGTAACATCACAGAAATCAATTATGCAATTTGATTATTTGGGTATAGAAACGTGGGTACTACTTTTTCAATGTCAACTAACACCTTCAACCGTTTCCCTTTAGTTAAATCTGGCTAACACCTTAGACCTAAAATGAGTTCCCAGTTCACTGCTAGTGTCCCTCCGTTCGGAGAGCCTGAGGTAGGAAATACCACCTGTTCTACACGCCTAAGCCTTTGCTTTCAGACTGAACAGCACTTAACAGTAACTAGCGTCCCCCATCCCCCGCCAGCTGATGTTCAGAAAATCGCTTCATACGCACAAGGGAGCCCAGGGTGAGCGATAAAGATTTCATCTGCACAGAGAACCAAGCCTGCACCACTAAATGCAATGAGTCAGCAATAAGGTTAGAGCAATCGCTGGGCCATTCCAACATGCCAGGAAGGGACACATCAGGGACTGCACATGTGGCTTCCGCAGAGGAGGCAAATCCACGCTCACAGACAGTGCCCAAGAACACCAGAGACAAAGCTGTCCTCAGGACGGGGGCTGATCCAGGTATGCACAAGAGCCAAGGACCAGGCCACCCAACACCGAGCTGACCAACAGAACCAATAAATCATGCTGCCCCAGGACCCTGCTAAAGGAGCCGAGGCCCACAGTGAGCTGCTCGGACTGCTGTGTCCAGGCCTCGTAGATCAAAGATAGGTTTGGGGCGAAAGGAAGTTTTGAACTTGACAGGATTTTCCTGGACACATTCAAAACAGAAATAACCTGACAGGCCGGGAGCAACAAAGTCACTGCATGCAACTTCTGAGGAAATGAGGTGAGTGCACAGGGCCAACCCCTTAGGCGTGAAGAGACCCCGCAGGGTAAACACCAGCCCTCCTGCTCCATGCAAGAGTCAGAAGTAAAGGGAGGGAGAGGGGAGTCGTTAAAGTAAGCAAACGCATTCCTTGACAGAGGCCTTACGCCTTACGAGTCTTGACACTCTGATAGGAAGAATCTGCTACAGTGCTTGAAGGTTCCAAGCCTCACCCTGCAGGGTATGAGGGAAAAGAGCAAGGAGTTCAAAGTGAATAATTACCTGTTATTGATGTATTATATTTAAAGACCCTGGCTAAGGATTAAAGACACTCTCAAGGCCGTTAACAACCTGCAGTAAACAAGTCAAGTTTCAGACGGGAGGAGGAGAAAGGAATTTCAGAAGGATTTCCTCCGCCACCCTAGAACCTGTGTAGGTAAGCGAAGTGTGCATTACACAGAAGGACATATTCAGGCCAGGAAAGAAAAATCATCCAACAGGCTGGAGCTCCGTCTGCATCCCTGGAGTCTTGTCCTGAGAGTTTACTCTCCTCAAAGGACTTTGTCTTTCCAACGGTTAGATTTCTGGCACCACAGAGGGAGGGGCAGCTAGTAGGTACACAATTAACTTGGTCAGTTGGTTGGCTGGCTAGCTGAACCTAACTTCTTACTCCTTTATACTTCCATTAAAAAACAAAGATTCTGTCACTGAAGTCACTGGTAGCCCCCCAGACGCAGCGCCATTTCCCCAGGGACACGCTTAAAGAAGGGACAGTTTCTCCCCAGCTGAGCCCCCAGAAGTCCCCTGGGTCCCTCCCTGGAGGATGCACACGATGACGTTGTTTCTGTTTCCCCTTCTGTGGTATCTGATCCTCTGATCTCTCAGCTGAGGACTATTATTCTAATGAAAAACACTTCCAGGAAATCAGTCCAAGACAGATTTAATTTGATGTGGAAAAGAATTTCAAACGCACGTTATGTTCATCGGAAATCATGATCAGCCTTAGCTTTCAAGTACCCAGATCTGAAGGTGCCACAGTGCTTTGAAGGAGATGGGGAGGAGTTCTTTTCTGCTTTTCTAAAATTTCTTTTAGGAAAAAAGTGAAGAAGAAAAAGGAGAGGCATGGGGAAAAGACAGCTCTGATCAGTGTAATTATAACCTGCACATGGGCAGCGCCTGGCCCTGCACTGAAGCCACGGGCCACATGTGCCTCCTGGAAGCTGCCCCAAGAGTCCAGCCTGCACGGGAAGGGCCCGCCTGGGCCCTGGGGGCCATCTCCCTCCATCCACGCCTTCCCACCGTGCTGCCCTGCTCAGGAAACTTCAGCCTCTCAGGCTCAAAGCACACTCTGAACTAAGAATCAAGGCCTCCCCAACCCACCTTCACTTGCTTTTCAAAGTACAGTTCCACAACCGTGCCCTGCAGCAAGGCCTGCCCAAAGCTTGCTGTTAGGAAACATACACCCGGCCCAAGGCCAGCCTTTCTCTCTCCCCCTTCCACAGCAGAAGGGATAAATCCCACATTTTTAGAGGAAGAAGGGACTAATCAATTCTGCACCTGAGTTTCAGAGTATTACAATAAAAAGATCTCTCCATGTAATAAGATGCCACTGCCTCTCATCACTCAGGTGTGAGACCCAGCTCCACACTCTCCTCCGGGCTGGACTTTGAGGATACACAGTGAAACCAGCCAAGGCTCCTGTCCTAGAAACTCCACCCCCACAGGGGTACAAATACACTCAGAACTGTCATGGTGAATACCATGCCTCCACTTATTTATTTTTTATGCTGTTGAAATATATATAAAATTTGCCATTTTAACCATTTTAAGTGTACTCCTCAGTGGGGTTAATTATATTCACAATGTTGTGCAACTATTACCACGATGTGTTTCCAAAATTTTCATCATCCCAAACAGAAACTCTGTACCTATTAGGCAATAACTCCCCACTCACCCCTTCCCCCAGCCCCTGGTAACCTCTCGTCTACTTTCTGTCTCTATGAATTTGCCTATTCCAGCCATTTCATATAAATGGACTCATGGTATCTGTCCTTTTGTTTCTGGCTTATTTCACCTTCTATCTGTGTTGTACATGCAACGTATTTTCCTCCTTTGTGTGGCTGAATTACATCCCATCGCATATATAGCCCATACTTAATCTCTCCACTCATCGGTTGAAGGGCACTGAGCTGCTTCTGGCTACCGTGAACAGTGCTGCTAAGAACACTGGTGTATACGTATCTGTTAGAATTCTTGGTTTCAACTCCTTCAGGATTTCCAGTCATCCTTTCATTTATATTTGATGGATGAATGAATGAGGGTTTCCAGCAGCCACATGAATTCGTGCAAAGACACCAGGCACAGCACAGCCTGAGTAACTATGCCACCAAAGCTGCTTGGAACGGCTGCACTGGGGAATGAGAGACAAGGCCACAGAGCAGGAGCTCTCCTGAAGCCTCATCATTCCCATCTGGTGCATGTGCCTATGTCGAGCCTGACAAACTCCCAGGAACAGGACAAGACGTGACTGGTCCCCAACCTTTCCTCGTCCTCGACACCCAGGACGTAGATCACCTGAGAAGCAAGATGCCCCGCAGCCTGCCAAAAACAGTGGCCTGAACTCCACCCATTCCTCTGTCACTCCAGAAAGATCTTAAACTAAGGAGTTCGTGTTTTTTAGGAAAAAATCATTCTAATGTATAAGACCAACCTTCAGCATTTGACTCTGGACACCTGTTACCCAGCTCCTGATCAACAGTGACACAAGTTTCTGGAGGTGGAAAAGTTTTCTGCAGAGTCTGTCTCACAGCTGAACCCGTGGTGATCCTGGTGACAGGCACCACCAGCCAGGACAGAAAACACGGGAGGAGACGGGGCTGGGGAAGATGACGACTTCATCCTCACAGAGACTGAGAGGCAGCCCCCAGGGGTGGGGTGGGGCGGAGGGCAGGCCTCGGGGAAACGCCAGCCTTGAGGGAAAGCTGCGGAGCCTTGGGCATAGAGGGCGAGACTCCTGGCCAGGAATATGGCTTCAGAGGAAAGGAGGACCAAGAGCAGAGTTCTGAGGAATTCTGACATTTAAGAGCGAAGTCAGCAGAGTCAGAAGAACAGCACGTGTCACAGTGGTAAAGGGAATCCATTTGAGGAGGTGACCATGAGTCAGACCGAGTCAAGGGCAGGTCAAGGACTCCACAGGATCTGACATCTGCTTGGACCAAGGGGTCTCAGAGATCCTCAGCGAGCAGTGGTCACATGTGGACAGGATGAAGTGTGACCAGCACACACGGAGCAGTCGCAGACGCAGCACACAACACAGACTCAGATGTCTACTGCACAAGGAAATGCAGACATAAACACGTGGAAAGAAGCAGGTAGAACTACCAGTGCCGAGTATATGACACTACCACTGGGAGACGGGCAGATTCACAACCCTAATCAATTACAGGAAAGCCTGAGCGTCTCAAATTGGATGAACACTATTTACTGACATAACTGTAACATTACCTAAGACTGTAATAAATGCAACATATCAGATCATTAAATACTTTAGCAAGTGATTATAAGATGCTCAGGCTTTGAAAATCTGATGATCTGAAAAACTAGAACTTGCTCTGACTCACAAGGAGAGGCCAAGTCCAGCCCCTCTAAACCAGACAAACTGGGTGGGGCGTGCACTTGGACTTTCAAACCATCCGTTTTTAATGGGGGATCTACAGGCAAAATTTGATTCTTGGAGACAAAAAAAAAATTCAGATATTATCAAGGTTTGTAGCCCTTCAAAGCTCAGTGGTATTCAACAAAATCTCACTTCTCAGTACTTCATTTCTCTCACTAGGCAGAATTTAATTTTTCTCCTTAAGGAGGTGATAATGAAAACTAGGCAGAAATTCGCCCAAAAGGAAGCCCCGCTGAAGAGCCCCAGTCGCCCTCCAGGCACCTCCTCCCTGAGCCCTCAGTGCCAACCGCTAACCTGCACACCGTCTTCCCCACCCTCCTCGTTACCCGCCAGTTTCCCAGTACGATCCTCACATACAGGTTATGTTGATACACAAGAGTTTCCCCAAAAGGAGCCAAGGACCTTTGGAAGATGCAGTCCAGGTGCTCCGCGTACTGCGGGAGGCCCCGCACGGGTGGACAAGAGGCCCAGACGCAGCCCAAAGCACAGTCGTCTTGGCGCTTCTCTCGGCATACAAGAACCCCTGGGAAATGTCGGCACGAGGCCCAGCACTGGGACGCGACAGAAAGCCTCATTGACTGCACTCACTTCACTTCTCCTAAATTCCGAAGGTCTGATCCTCACCTCTGCTCCAGCCAGGTCGAACCTCAGAAAAAGCTACACAACGAAAGGGAGAAATAGGGAAAAACTCTGCCTCCAAGATTTTGTTCCCGTCACCAGTTCCTCATGCATCTGAACTGTCCATCCTCAAAACACAACCCGCCCGCTGTTATCACATGGCGAGGGCTCAGGGAACATGCTTGTCTATTTTTCAGGGGCAGCTGTGGAGAACAGACCAGAGAGAAGGGCGAGGGCCGGGAAGCTGAGCTCAACTGAGAATTCCTCTCGCAGAGGGAGCCTGCAGAAGGAGACAGGAGAAACGGGGGCCCCAGGACATAGCCAGGCTAAGAACACGGCCCTGAGGGCTGGGCCCGGGCTCTCTCCACCCAGTAGACCCTCGACCCCCTACAGCGTCCCATCAGAAGAAAATACTCCCGAACAGTGAAACGGCCGGATGGCCAGCAGCCTTTCTAAAGGTCTCTGTGCAGGATGTTCCATTTCCTTCATGTGGCAGGATCACCATCCTTGTTCAAAGCCCACCCACACCACCCTAACCCGTGCTGCTAAGATTAGTCTTGTCCAAAGAATCACTTGGCAAAGGTAAACAACTTGGACACTTGCCAGTACAGATTTGTTTCCAACCTGGAATTCTGGAGGAGATGCAGGGCTGTCTGTGACCCCCTCCCCATCCCCTTCTAAGCCGGGGGCTATTTTCTGAACTCAAGCATGTGGTTTGGCGCTGGCCTGGTACCCATAGGCATCCTTGACTAATGGAGCAGATATGTCTCCTGCATGATTTCTTTTTTGCTTGTGACCCAAAGATACCTGTTCTGGACTCTTTGTGGCCACGATCTTAATCTCCCATTTTCCAGAAACTGCACTCAAGGCTGCAAGAAATCATAACTGCCCAGCATCCTGCTTTATGTGGCATTTTCCACTGACATCTGTAAAAATCAAATCCAAAATTTAGTTTCCATCTTTGGGGTCATTAAGCATCTTCATCCAAGATTTTGTTTTTACTTAGTGCTTGTAAGAAAAAAAAGAAGTTCAACATGTGCCTGTGTGCAAGGGCAAGGGATCTGAATAACATTTCTTGTGATTATCCCACTTAATCAACTACCCCACAAGTCACCCCAGAGCATCCTACGCATTGCTAAGCCATGTGTTTGCAATCGGCACTGCTCTCTGAGCCTGGCCAGCATGTGTTTTTGGCTTTTGATTCAATTTCAGCAACCTTGAGAAGGCACAACATAGCTGGGTGGGAACTGCATGGTATGAGCTTAATTCGGGGTCTGGAGAAGCCAGATAACCATCCACCATCCGTCTGCTCCAGGATGCCCACTTCACATGTGCACCAACTGCTCACTTGGTTCTGGGCCTCAAACGTGCAAACCTGCAAAGTGCAGGAGATGAAAAAGTCTGCAGTCTGTCTGACTGAAGGCCTGCTGGGCAGGGCACATCCACATGAAAGGACCTGGGCTCTGCAGGAGAATGACGAACCCAGTGAGGGCTCTGCTGAGCCACGGCTTTTCACTGGTCCAGGCTTCATAAATTGCTCACCCTTGGGCTGTCTCCTCGCATCCTCAAACATCTGGAGGGCAACTAGAAGGGAAACGTTCCACTCGTCCCAGAGAGCCGGCTGTGTGCCATCCTGCAGAAGGCATGTACAGATGCCAGACGTACCCACATTCCTCGGAGAGAGTCTTTCTCGCAGGCTCTTTGAAAGTCAGAACTTGTGACTGGAGGCTACTCACCGTGCTAAAAAGCACTTTCTGTCACTGCAATACTTTAAAAGAGGATGGGGTGTGAATAAGGAAACTCATTCTATTGTGAGGCTAAGGAATTCTCTTTTGAATTATAATTCTGTTTTTAAGTAGATTTTATTATGTAGCTGTGAGTACAGGGGAGTGTTTACCTGAGTATGTGAGTCTAAGTGTGTGTGTTGGCTAGAGCCTGGATTTCAAAACAAGGCTACTAGTCATCATTAACCTGAAAAACTTTCCAGAAATACAGATTCCTGTTCCTAAACTGCACCTACTGAACCAAAATCTCCAGTTTTGGAAACAGGAATCAGTATTTCTAAAATCAGCCAGTTGGTTCTGCCATCAGAGCACAGAGCGGCATTTGGGAACCAGGAAGTAGGGAATACATAATCCAAACACTAATACTAATGGTTAAATTTCCCTAAACTCTGACGGGTGCCAGGCACTGTATCAGACAGACACTGATGTAGCTGCGACAAGCACCGTATCATAGAGGTGCTACAGTATTTACATTTTAAAATTGAGGGAACTGAAGCTCAAACACACAACTGGCAAGTGGCTGAGCATGGAAGACCCTGGTCTAAAGAGCTGGGTCTCGGTCCATCACAAGCTGCCGGCAGATGTCTTTCCTGGCCCTCTTCCAGCCCTGACAGTCTCCGGTTGATTAGAGCTGATCCGCTGATGTGGCCCAGCCTCTTTGTTTCACAGATGAAGAAATGTGGACCCAAAGACAATGAGTGACCCTTTGGGAACACCCAGATGAGAACTTAGACTTCCTGGTTTTATCAGCGTTCTTATAAAAGCACCATGCGTCTGGTTGAGTGACTAGGCTCTCTCCATGATTTAAACACTAAGAAGTCCTCTGCCTTGCAAAGACAGACAAACTTAATGGTGCTCAAAATGGGGTGGGTGGGTTGGTTGGTTGGTTGGTTTGGGAGTCCAGATAAGGACTATTCCCAAATTCATCTTAGAAGTCTGTTTTTACAATCCCAGCTCCATGACCATGTACTTGTGGGGGTAAGAATACAAAAACAGTTACCTTGTGGCCTTTGGAGTTGCCAGACACGATTAAGCAGTTTTCCCCTGGAGGCTCCTAACCGACGTGCCGCTTATTGCTAAATTTCCAGTTAATGGGGGCTGCTTGAGACTTGGACCCCGCCCACCTGCCCTCTGACACACTCTGGAAGCTTCCTCCCCATCCATCCCACACAGACTTTACAGTCGACATGATTGGGTAACTCTCCACACACTCAGACCACTCTTGCTGCCTGGTGAAGCCCGTGTGGATTCACAGCTGCCTCTGTCTACAAGCGCCTGCTGGAGGCACAGGTCACTGAGATGAGAAGGTCACAGTGGAGACTTGCACTGAGATTCGAGCCCGTGGGCCAGCAGACAGGTCGCCCCTCGTTCCTCCCGGGCTCCTGTTAGACCGGCCAGATCTGCTGCCCTTTCTTCAAGGATTCGACTGCCTTCTCCCTCTCTCCCAAGCTCCGGGGATCAACCACTCCCTGTGATTATAGAAATAAAACCTTACACGACTGTTGGCAAAGCTAGGGAAACAAGGATCCAGAAGAGGGAGTGGCTAATTGCACCTCTTGCTGCGTGTACAAGGCAGCGTTTGCCAAGGTGGCCGGAGACCCTGAGCATCTGGCCAGTGGAGAAGCCTGCGGAAGGCAGGCCTGGGACCAGCAGGCAGGGAGATAACTGGCTGAGGAGTGGAGGACCCCCAGCGACTGGCCGACGCTCACTGAGGAAGAGGGAGTGGCCTAGAGACCCCTGCCTGTCACCACACTGGCTGCCGTGACCTCTGCACGTCACACAACTTCTCGTGCAGCTCTAACTCAGACCACACAAAATTCTGGGGAGCACTTCCCACTCAGCCCAGGTGACCCAGTACAAAACCTCCCCACTTCCGCACTTCTGGGTGCGTCCCCAGCCATCCATCCCCAATGCGAGGGCACCATGGAGCCTGACCATCCCTGGGGCAGCCCTGACTTGGGGAACTGAAGTCTCTGCAGCTCTCTGGAGAGGAGCAGGCTGCCTGGACTCTGCTCCCCTCTTGTGAGGCTTTAGATATAAACCTGTTTGCACCTCAGAAAAAAAGGCCATGTAAGTCAGATGAGACAGGCCCCATCTGCATCCTTTCCATCCCAAGTCCGCAGCCCCAGACCCTCCTCCCTCCCTCACAGCATATGCACACGTACCTGAGTACCCAGATCTCCCCTTTCCTGCCTCTCCCAGTGTTAAACACACCCCCTCATCCCACCTTGATGGACTTAAACTCGAACGCACACAAAAATATGCCACATGTCCACCCTGCCAGTGTGACAGGTGTAACTGAAGGTAAACTCATCTGCTGCTTTAAAAGTTTTGACTAACGAAAAAACCAAAGACTGGCTTCCCCCAAAATGAAACACTGGAAGCTGAATTAAAATAACGAAGTCTCCTTTGCTCCAAGCAAGCTAAATTTTCCAGTTGTGCAATAAAGGCTGCTTTTCACTTTGTACTTAAGCTTCCTTGATGAAATAAATCCACATTTATTTCCACCCTGAATGCTCACAGAACTCGGGATTTTCCATTTCAGAGTTGCCCCCAGATTGTCGTCCTTAAGCAGTGCCTGACCCTCCAAGGGACCGGTCAGCTCAGAGTCTGGACGGCCTGACTGCTGAGGCTCATTCTCATGACTTCTCGGCCATGAGGGTGAATTAGCAGCAGGGAGGCGGAGCCACCTTGCCGGGTGATTGGCAAATGACAGCTAATTATTCTCGACACTCTTCCTAGAATTACCAGCCAATTCTGATACCTCTAGTATCAAATAATAATATATAAAATTGTAAAGTTACATAAAATACAATCATCATCAGCTATGTTTCTTATCATCCTGTGGGCCGTAGAAGAGCCTGTGACTATCCTGTGCTTATGAAACAGACCATCTGAATCACACACCAAAGGGCCGGGGCTTGTCTACGCTGGTACCTCCCTTCATGGCAAGGAACCTCTCTCTCTCTCTCCCCGCCACCCCTTCCTCCTCACTTAGTGGTTCCAGCCCTGGTGGTTGTTTTCCTTCAGGTATTAATATCTTTGTGGCGAGAAGCACACTTGCCTATTCCTGGAAAACTATATATAAAGCAAAGGAAGCTAATCAGACACCCTGAAAAGGACACAAAGAAACTTGCCCATGTGTTTGTCCCAAAGGCTACTAACAGCTTTCCTGCCGCTGCTGCTGGTGCCACAGGGAAGGCAGGGTGACAGGCGGCTTTCTCCCCCTTGTGGAAATAGTGCACGGAACCTACCCACCCCTCACTTCATTTAGGTCAGCTCCCAGCAATGGCTGAAAGCCAGAAGCACACAAACCCTCAGGCCCCTGATGCCCAGGGCATCACTGACAACACTGGCAGGAGCCCTCCCAGCCCCAGCAGGACCAAAGCCCCAGGGCAAGCCGGGAGTGGGGACCCGGAGTCACCCCGCTGGACGCTGCACCAGAAGGTGTGTTCCCCTCCCCTGTGCTCAGTCACCCCAGATCTAACAGTAAAGGATGCAGACTTAGTGATTTCTCTTGCCCCTACGTCTAATGATCTGACAAGCTGGGGCAACAACAGCTGCTAACCCACATTAGCTGGCCTGGCCTCTGGTCGAGCCGTTTAACTCAAATTGGTGACATGTGTTCAGTATGAAAGGTCTCAGTGATCTGCACACGAACCTGAAAGACTTGCACAAACAGGGAATCTGGGTTGATCCGCAAAGCTGCACTCACGGCCCTGCCCCGGACCCACCCTGAAGGGACAGCCCGGCCCCTCTCCTCACCCCTAGGGCTCCCTCAGGGCTCCCTCAGCTGTTACTCCCGGGAGCCAATTCCCAGCACTAGGCACCCTGCCGGAAACGGGGTTGCCTCCAGGGGCTACACCATGACGTGAACGTGTGCCGGACCTGCAGCGGCGACGGGGACCG